GTCTAATATTTATGCAGCACACTGAATGGAACGGTTGTAACCACACCCGGATGGGGATGATGGATGCCATCATGTCTCTAGACCAGCTTGTGGATGAGTCTGATCCCGATGTGGACTTCCCCAACTCCTTCCACGCTTTCCAGACTGCTGAAGGCATCCGCCAAGAACACCCAGACAAAGGTAAAGTGCAGAGAGAGAATCAGAAATGCACCGAGACTGTGGAAAAGCTCATGCTATAGAGTAAATATCTTGTACTTACTGTACCTCTCAGAATGGTTCCACCTGGTTGGTCTGATCCATGATGTTGGAAAGATCATGGCTCTCTGGGATGAACCGCAGGTGAGGGATAGGTCCAAGATAGGTAGAGCTGGCACAGTAGATTCCTCGTTCCCAAAGTTTTCAGAGCTGCTTTTCCTCAAACGGAATTTTTAACACAGTTGTGTTCATTTAGTTTATTACTCATTATTGTTATTATTACTATATAAATCCCATTTGTTTAATGTTTAATTTTAATAGGTTTCTAAGGTAACTGTCTGTGTCTCTGTGTCCTGCAGTGGGCTGTAGTGGGCGACACTTTCCCCGTTGGCTGCAAATTTCAAAACTCCATTGTGTTCAGAAACAACACCTTCCTGAAAAATCCAGATGACAATAATCCCAAATACAAGTTGGTATTCTGACGTTGACTCTGCAAATTTCACAAAATAATTGCACATATTTTACAGACGAGAACATAGAAAAAAAAAAGTTAACAAAGTGTGCTTGAAAGCAAACTGCTCAGTGGACATAAAAACACACATCTGCATGTGTTCAGTCCACAGTCTGTGTTAATCAGCTGACCAAAAATATTTTTTTATTTGTGCTATTGAAAATATGCTCCTTGTAAATTTATGACTGCTGACAGTAAATTGTAGTCTAATTATTAAAAGTGCAGGGAGTTGATCCTGTTATGTTTTTGCCCCTTTAGCACTGAGTTTGGGATCTACGAACCAAACTGTGGCCTTGACAATGTCCTCATGTCCTGGGGCCACGATGGTAAGAAGCATCATCAGCCACGCATGACTTAAAAAATTTTTTTTTTAAGTTCTACTACTATAGAAGAGCATTTATCTATTACACTGTGATCTACACCCTTGCATTCTTGTCTTCAGAGTATCTCTACAGAGTTATGAAGTTCAACAAGTGCCTCATCCCAGAGGAGGTGAGTTAATTATTACCTTAAATTGTTTTTATCAGGGGGCAATTAGCTTTATAGTTGGCACCAAAGTGATAGGCAACAGGAAAGTCTTGGCTCTGAATGAACAGCTTAAACACTAATTCCTCTTTTCCTCTGACATGGTGCCAGTTCTGCTTGGTGCTCTTTGAGAACCAGGGTAGATTTCAGCAGGTTTAAGAACCAAACATTTAATTGGATTAATTTGTGGGGAAAGACTGATTGCAACTCCAACACAACCAGAGTAAAGGTAAAAGATTAGGCATCAGAACAAAAGGGTTAGAATAGAAGAATTAGTGGATAAATCCCGATTATAGTGGAAAAAATAAATTTGTTTTTTCCATGCATACAGTGACTGGAGACACCTCTAATTTGTGTCTCCCTCCAGGGCTTTTACATGATTCGCTTCCATTCCTTCTACCCCTGGCACTCCCATGGAGATTACATGCATCTGTGCAACGATAAAGACTTGAAGATGCTGCCCTGGGTCAAAGAGTTCAAGTGAGTATCTTAAACACACATGTAAAATGTGTTCAGTCAAGTTTTGTACCCAGGACTTAACTCTGATTCATCTACAGCAAATTTGACCTGTACACAAAAACCACTGATCTGCCTGACGTCAACAACCTGAAGGTGTACTACCAGTCTCTGATCGACAAGTACTGTCCTGGAGTACTGCAGTGGTAAAACGGACCAAAAGGAACGGTTAAAAAAAGAAAAATCAATGACAACACTGTTAGAAATCGGTTAGTGGAATTATTTTACATACCTATATTGTGACACTGACTAAATGTATAGCTTTATGATAACACTATAGCTGAACTTGGTGTCTTTCTGTATATAGTTTAGTTTTTACTGGATAAATCAATCTTATTTTGTGCATACTAATCATTATAATGCCTATTTTATACAATAAAGCATGTACAAATCAAAATTTCGCTTTTATTGTACTGTTACATATATATATAAAAAATTCAAAACACTATAGTGTTCCATGTGTTTAATTTGAAATCTTAAACAAAAACAAAACCCAAAACACACATATGTTTGTAGAAAAGGGGAAAAGTGCTTGTGTGATTAGTTCTGTACATACAGCAAGATGCAAACAACAGAGGCCGGAGACAAACTGTGCCGAACAGTAGCGTCAACGCTACACAAACCAGAGCCCACATCATTGTTTCGTTTCATTCTACATGATTTGTTTGGGTTTTTTTTTAACTGGTCTTCTCCAGGTGTTCAGCTGTATATGTCAGAACTGACAAGGAAGGCATTAAAATGTTTAAAAAACTTCTGCAAAGTGATGAAGCAGAAATACAGAGAGGTACAGTGAAGTGTTGGTGAAACAAAGCAGGCATGTTGTTAACGAGTGGCTGATCGGGACACACAAAAATACAGAAAACATCTTCTTTGGTCATCTTGGTAACATTTTATAAAGGCAGACGTGATAACAGTCTACGATGGATTACCAGCACCTTTTTCAAGGCCCTCATCTTTTTTCTATCCTTTCTTCGTCCTCATCTTCTTCATCAACTTCGTTCTCCTCTTCTCCCTCCTCTTCCACCTCGTCTTCACTGTCTGCTTCTTTGTCATCCTCCTCCTCATCTGCCTGCTGTTCATCAGACTTCTCATGATGGTCTGAAGAAGAGCCGTCGGCCGCATTTTCAGTACGATCGGTCGCTGTGGCCTTGTGAGCGTTTAAAGGCTTCTCTGCATCTTTGTTTTTATGTCGCAATCCCTGAAGTAGACAGAAGGTGGCACTGCAGGCAATCAGGGTCCAGATGAGTGTGTGCGCAGGGAGACCTCTGACCTGAGAGCGCACCCACCTCACCGCTTGGGCAACAGTGGTGTTGGACAAACGGCGCGGAGGAGACTTGTCCTATAAACAGAAATCAGTGTGGATCAATGGTGGTGCTAACACTGGATCTTTTGAGCTGGAAAACTAAGGCTTGTGTTTTTATTACATCACATCACCAATCATGTTAGTTTTGTTTTCACACTGAAATTATGAAACTGACTGCTTCCTATACTGACATGCGTCATGGACATGTAGTCTTCTATCATCATTTTAATTCATGCAGGAAAATAGAACTGCATGCCGCATCTCATTTTCACCCTCCCCCACACTTCTGACCACTTGTAATATTCTCTACAATTCATCTGAAAAGGATGATACACTGGTGTACAGTGGGTCGTCTTTTCTCTTCTGAATGGTCTGCCTTGTTTGTTCCAGGGAGGGCTTCAAACACATAAAAATCTGGTTCTGTGGAACAACTATCCAGAAGTCTAAATCTAATCAGGAGCGAACATGAAGCTCTTCGAATACAGGAAAGCATTTTCAAGAGTTACCTTAAGTCCATATTGGTTGAGCATGCCTTCTAGGAAACTGTTTCCCAGATGCACTATGGGATAGAACTCCTCATCATAGACCCTCCTCCACCAGCGCTCTGGGAAAGAGCTGCAAACAAAGAGTCAGTGAGGTCTAGTTTTAGGATAAAATAAGTAAACCTGCATCAAAGTTAGCATGCATGTCTAAAGTCACTTTTTTTTTTAAACACCAGAAAATTAAATAAAGGAATAAATCAAGCTGTGAAATGTTTCCAGTGAAGTTTCTTCAATGCAGGCAAACACAATGAAGCACGAGGAGAACCAGAGAGCACTGACCCGTCAGCCTTTGATTCGGTAAACCAGTATCTGTAGCGGTGAGCTCGCAGGTAGGCAGGCGGCTGCTGGTGAAATGGATACTGGGATACATCCGACTGAATCAGCTCAATAACTGCAGAACACAAGGCGAACTTTAAGAGAACTGTTTGTTCCTGACCAAGGTAATTGAGCACTGTAGAATAGTCTAACTCGAGACTAAGGTAGAACACAAAACTTGTAACATGGATCTCTGGTGGATTTTTATTTGCCCCCTGCTACTTTTTCCTTTGATTGCACCACCTTTGAAAATACCATAAAATGTGGCTTTCAAAGAAAACCGTATAAACAAACAGCATGGGATTTTTTTTCCCCTTCATTTGATTAACTGAACTTCCCATTAAGCAGCTGCAGAAGGAAAATGCAGCTCTCCGCTCTACGTGTTCATACCGTCTCGTTTTCCTTGCAGGAGTCTGTACATCAGGCTGGTGAACCATGGAGATTGCGTATTGGGCCCAAGAGCAGCAAACCACATTTGCCAGTCCAGCCTGGGCTGATGGGGTGTCAGCACAGGAGGAGATGCACTCAGATTCCCTGGCTTATACATGAACTCAATCTCCTATAAAGAAAAAAAGATTTAAATAAAAATAAGTTAATGTTATGAAATATGCAGTTTTCCTAATTTACAAATTAGAGAATTTTACATCTTGTTTAAGTTCTCACCGTCCATGTGACCCCATCACTGCTTCCCTCAATGACAACCTCGGGTCGCCCGCCAACTCCGGTCATCCTTCTGAACAAACCGTACGAGTTGACTACCTGATAGCGATCAACCATCTCATAGGCTTGGCGCACTCCTGGCCACAACCTGGAGTTGGAATCGTACTCTATGAAGGTAAACGGCACCTGAAAGAGAATCAGGCGATTTACAGCTAATCGCTTATGAGCTTTATCAGTTCCCATGTTTCCAACAGAACTCACCAGACTGACAGCAAACATTGAAGCTGCAGCCCCCGCGAACACCGTCCACTGGACCGTTCCCCAAAACCTCTTAAAGAAACCAGACACACACGCACACCTAGAAATAAAAGTTAGACGTTAAGTTGCACAACATCTAAAAGGCAACTGCTCAACAAGCAACACATCACAACCATTTATAGGTCAATCTTACCTGAAGAGAGAGGTAACCATCTCCCAGGTGAGTGAGAGGACACCGATCCAGATACAGGGAATAGTGACGGTCTTCAGAAACAGGTTAAACTGGTGGTATGTAAATGCTGCCAAGGACATTTTAAGAAACATGAAAAAAGAGAAGCAAAATTGGTTACAGGCACATAAAAAGAAAAAAAAATACGAAAAAAAACCCCCACTCACCTGTCCGCGAGGAGATGCCTTTCTTAGCTGTATCCAGCTGCAGGTCAAAGCAGATGATTGTTCCAACAATCAGCAGAGCCCAGACCACCAGCTCCAACAGGTAACACAGCCACGACCACAGCTTTGAGTCTAAATACAGTGGAGCGAGAGAGTGAGCAACGTTTGTCCTCAATATTTCTTTTAGTCTGAAGGAAGTTGAGATAAAACAAAATGTTCATTCTTCGTGACAAACAGCTACGCCTTAGCCTACGAAACATCGCCTGGGCTGCAGCTGTGCAATGTTCAGTTTCATACCATCATTCCCGTTATCAGTCTTGTATGTCTTGCGCAGCCAGAAGTAGACATGGCGATCATCCAGAAGTGACAGACAGAGGGTCACAGTGAGCAGGTTGAAGAAGTTGTAGTTGCCAGACAAAATGATGAAGACTTGAAGCAGCACCTACACGAGGAGAGAAAACAGACTGATTTCATTTTAGAGCCAACATTGAGGTTGATAATACTGCAGGTGAAACTAAAGCAAAACGTGAAAAAAAAAATTTCTTTTCACCTGCAAGTAAAAAGCTCCAAGTCGGAGCCTCCGCAGTGGACTGAAGAACAGGAACGGAACAGCGATCTCGATAACGAAGGCTCCCACCATGCTCAGCTTCTGCCAGCACACCGGCAACTGGTGGGCAAACCAGGCCAGAGGGGTTGGGATACACTGAGTCTCGTAGTGATACGTGAGGGCTGCTCAACACACAGCAAAAAGAGGGAGAGAGTAATCAGATGGAGGAAAATGACAGAATGAAATGAACAAAAAACAAAAACAAAAAACATGACACCACTGTCTCACTGTGTAAAGACAGCATAAATGGCATCCATACAGTCACTCATCCATACCTGTAAGGCCCCACCAGGTGGGACAACGTGAGGTTAGCTTCACCACCCCGGATGCAAACATGAGTCTGAAGAGCAGCCAGCGAGTAAGCCAGAAGGTGACACGATCGTGCTCTCTGACCCCTCGTGACCCTCTGATTAAAGTCAGGGGAGCAACAAGGATACAGAGGAACCCCGTCTCTAGGAGCAGGTTGTCCCTGAAAAGCAAGCAATCAAAGCAAGAGGAGAGACTAGTTTGCATCTACAACAGTGCTGCACAGCAGCAGAGACCTTGCAGCACACTGATAAAATGATCTCCTTTAAGCAGCTGCTGTTTTAGAAGCTGTGTGGTATTCAGGAAAAAAATGAACTGCATTGCACTCACCACTGGAAGTAGAGGAAAACCTGGCCTACCTGTAACAGACAAAAGTTTAGTGAGAAATACTGTGACAGGAAAAAACAGAAGAGCGCATTACCACCGTGCAAAATCACCTCATACATAGACAGGTACAAGACCCAGAGGCAGAAGAACACCACGCTGTCTCGAAAAGCCTCCACCAGCGTGGCAGCAAGGCTCAGTGCCGCACCGATAAGACACAGCAGCTCCATGGCAGTGTGAGTGTCCAGGCCAAGCCGAGGTCCCAGCCACAACAGCGTGGGAGAGGAGAGCAGCTGCTCCACCAGAGGCTTCCCGCTGTATCGCAACTGCCAGCGGGCAGGGAGCAGCCCCTCATTTCCATACAGACCTGCACACAAACACAGAAAGCAACAGTACTGATTATGCTGGTGGTGAGCAGTGGATTCATTATGTTACTCTTTTTAATGAATTTTACTTCTCAGTGCTGGAGATTATAATCTGAATCATTATAATCTGGTGACCTGCTGGGTGGAATCGAAAAATAACAACACTGGTCATACATATGTGATGCAGTTCTATAAGTAAAATGAATGATAATATTTTATTATAACCACCAGTTATTAGTTTAAAAACTTTAACAATGTTGCAAATGTATGTACTATGGCGTAAAAATTAACGAGAATAAACAGTAGTAACGTTTGCAGTGGAAAGTCATGTTGCCATTGCGACTAAATTAAAAAAATAGCCCAAATACATTTCCTTTCAAATATGGGCGGAGGAAACTTTTTTTTAAACTTAACTGGGCTGCAGAGATACCCCTTACGCCACCATTAAAAACATAGTTCGGGTGTGCTCAAAATGCCACCGTATGTCTTCTTTTTTTTTTTTTTACAACAGGTTGCTTGTAAATTTGGCCCAGTTGCAGGCTGACCGTGCCCGGGATGAAGAAACTTCCAGGCGGTTTTTCACCACGTCTAACGGCGTGGAAAGCAGAGGAACACACACACAGAAAACGCCAAGTTCCCAGCTAACAGGCTAACACATACCATTAAGGGAAGTCAGCTAGCCGCTTCTTGGGCTGCAGAATTGAGAGGCTCACCTGGTATCTGCACGTAGAGGGAAACAAAAGCAGTCAAGTAGATGACCGCCATGCACCAGAGGAACATGCGCCGTGGCAGAACAACTTCCCCCATTTTTGACCTACTCCCGTTCTGCTTTTTCACCCCTGCACCTATCGCTGCTACTCCTGTGGAAGCTGGGAGCGGGATTTCACGTAGCTGGGGGACACGTAGAAACGAGCTGTTTACGCTAAATTCACCCGAATGATCGCTAGGTGCCGCTGCAGGTCGCTTGAACGGTGTGGTGCGTTAATGGTACACGGGAATTTAGATATATAACCCGACTTAAGGATTAGCTTGTTTCTGACAATCAGATCATAATTAATAAAATACATTTTACAAGAACAAATCAATGTCGTATACATTTATTTTTTATATTTTCATATAGCTGATATTTTTCATCACTTATTTCGAGGGATACCTCACGTTTAATCTATGAAGCTGAATGCAAGATAAATAAAACGATACAAACAGAAGAATAAACTTTGAAAATGTTTAAAATAAAATAAAACGCAGGGTCACAACTTCAGAAGGTTGTTTCTACGGCTACAATAAATAAATAAATACATTATTTATTGAAATTCTAATGAAATTTTAGAGATGTCCAACTCAAAAGACAATAAACGTAAACTCCACTCTAAATCTCTTTGATTTGCAAATGGCAACAATTTAAAAAAAAAATTAAAAAATCATGGTTTGGGGAGGGGGGTTGTTTGCTTTTGGGGTTTTTTTTATTGGCAGAAATAATCTTTAAAAAGACACAACTACAGATCCTGTTCTATTTTTATAGCTCATCAAATTAAACAAATAACAATAAAAACAAGAAACCAATAGCTGTCACTTTGACTCAGGTTTATTGTGCAAGACCTATCAGGCAAGCATACAGGGTCATGGCAATAAAAAGTGGGTCTGCATGCTGCTAGTCAAAGAGCCAAAGCTTCCAAGTATTTACATTCAAGTTTTAGACACAAACATATGAAACTAATCACAAACAGCTGATCACACACAAAACAGAGTACCACTAATCTTCTGACACAGTGACACAAAACATCATGAAACTCATTGCACAGCTGAATTAAGTAGTAGGACTCTTGAACTTACAAAAATACTAGAAATCTGATTTTTTTTCCTTTTTTTTTGAGAACATTTACACAGTCTGTTTTCAGGTGGCACAGACACTTGTAGCTGCCCCCCCCCAATAGACAGAAGATCAGCAGCAAGACTCTAAACATAAACAGTGATTAAGCTTGGCAAAGCTATGTGAAATTTGACACACACAGATAAATGCATCAAGAGGACGTCAGTTGCTTCGATACCCAGAGATCAAGGTTTAAATACTTCAAAACAACCTCATTTTTTATATTCTATTAAAGATCCCTGCTACGACATCCCAAAGACCCGCTTTATATCAACTCACCAGTTTTGTTCGTATTCATCTGACATCACACCTGTCACCATTTCCCTGCTCACTCCAGTTGCATGTGAATAAAAAGCATACCTGCTATGTCACTTGAATTTAGGATAAAGCAATATAATCTAATAGTTTTAAATAGCTTTATACTGAATATATGGTAATGGCTATTCTAAAGGGAGTTATTGCTCTACAAAAATATGTGCATATAACACCTGTAATTTTGGCTTGTGTTATCTATATGCATGTAACATGAGTTTCCTCCCAGAAATACAGCTGTGACACCATCGTTCCACACTTGCAGAACGATTTTGGACTTCCTCTGAGAAACACTTTAAAACTAATTAGCAAGATTCTCAAAAATTCAACATGAGCCCAGTTTAGACATAAAACATTAAAATTGGACAACAGTGAACGGATCACAGGTCCGCCTGCATTCTTTGGAATTAGCATCAAAATTTTCCACTTCAGGCTATTTTTTTTCTATAGTTTAAGAAAGAGCACCACTCAGTTGAAATTTAAACAGTTGCTTTGCCTGATGCATAATCTCTTCACTCGGTGCTCAACACATGGGATGAAATAACTGAGTAAGAATTTGACTGTGTTTTAAAATCATTAGCTTGTATCCCTTTTGCTTCAGTCATTGAGCGACATCTGTGATCCGTGGATGGACAAATCAGTCATAGCTGCCTTACTCATACCCGACTGGATGACCAATATACCGTGGCTGTGAGTGACCCCAGCATGGACGGCTTTAATATGAAGGTTAGGTGTAAGGAGTCGGTGACTGGTTTTAAATTAAATGTTTATAAATACTTTGAAATTCCATAATATGTCCTGCAAAATATGTTCTCTTTAAACAAAAAGAAACATCCCACACTCCCATATTAATATAGATTGCTTTGCATGCTTGAGCAATGGTTCTTTATTTGCTGTGTCCAAGCCTTTGGATCTTTTATAGAGTTTTAAGGCAAACATAAGTCAGTCAGATTTGGACGGCTAGACTTAAAGTGTGTTGACTTAGTGTGTGTTTCTTGGAGCCAGAATTGGGGATCGGTGTCATTGTCATGTAGCCCCATCGGTTTCACTGCCACCGGTCTGTCCAGTATTTCCCGTAGATGTAGAGGACTCCTGGTCTGTTTCGCTGATGCAGATAACCGCATCACCGCTTACATTTATGAGACACTGAGCCTAAGGGAAAAACAAGTATGCAAAATTTAATCAATTGAACAACCACTACTGAGATAAACCGCCTGTTAGTAATGTGCAGTTTATATCACCTGATTTTTATTTGGATTTTCCATGAACACACATTCTTTCATGCTGTAAGACACAACTGCATTGCCGCCGAGGGCCGCTACGTGGGCTCGAACCATCGCGAACACCTCTGCGATGAATGAATGAAGGAAGCCGCTGACACCGCCTTCCTGCACAGAACAAAAACACACTTTACGTTTAAAACTGCGCAAAATGACCGCGGGACTTTGGATATTTTACTGACGTCGCTCGTACCTCCCGTAATGATGTCGTCTCTCTGATAAAAAACATGTTGATAATGCCAAGGTATTTAATGATGCGTGTCCCGGGAAGGAAGGAGAGCGGCGTCATCTTCACCACCGTTACCGAGCTGCCTCCAAACGAGCGACTGGAGCGCAGCGAGCGGGAACGTCCCTCTTGAAGCGGACTGCAGCGCTCCAAAGATGAGACTGCAGGTTCAGAGAGAGTGCAGGCAGAAGCAAGTGGGAGACGTGAAGAGAAAAATAAGAAGCGAGGAGAGGGGATATAAAGAAAAAGAAGAGATAAAACAGGAATGGAGATACCAGAATAAACTCAAAACTAGTGGAAAGATTAAAAGCAGACATGAGCCTTGAAGCAGAAAGAAATGTCATAGTGGAATGAGCATGCAGAAACTCAGCTGTTAGTGTTTGCACAGCAAGAGTAAAATGTGCACTTACATGTGCTTAGGCATGTGTGTGTGTTTGTTAGATTTACATGCAGCATTGAGAATGCAATAGACAATCACTTGGCGCGTGTGCGCTGCCATGCATATCATGCAGTCGATGCAAACAGACAATTACACATGTCTGCAGACAGACAGACAGACCTGGGCACAGCTGTTTACAAGTGTGAATAGAGTGTTTACAGCAAAGTACATGAGAGATTTTATTCTATATGTTGGCATTTGTGAGGAAGGCTTCAGACATGGAGACAGACAGAAACAGCTGTGAGGCTGAGGCTGGGCACATGTACACAAGCCAGAGTGTGAAAGATGCTCCGATATCTTATTGCAAATTTACCTGATGTGGCTTACATCCATCAAACCAGGAACCTTCAGAGCTACATATTAGACTGTAGTTTACTTAACATGCACAGATCGGAAAAGTCACACTAGCTCTTGCAGAAAAGCTTTGACCCCCGCCCCACCGTGATTATCAGTGTGTTCCCAAACAAATCGGACATGAAATCCTTTAGCATTCATACAGTGTCTCCTCAAATAACCTCCTATCTTCCAAGCTTAAGAAGAATCAGTGATGCAAAAGCAGGGGAGGGGAATAAAAGGAACCCTCTGGAGGTTCTCATGAAATTGCTGCAACCACCAAGCTATTTGAGAAAAATGCTGCACACAAAATGCAAAAACCTTTCTAATGTGACACACTGTTTTTGGCAAGCTGCAAATTGTGGATCCCTCTGAGGGGCGGGGCGTCAACTTTCACACTCTAGCCAAAAAAAAAACACAAAGCTGGTGCTTGATTTACAATGCTCCGCCCCCCAGCGGCATGCATGGAGGGGTGTGTGCGCGTATGTGTGACCGCTTGTGAACCGTGTTCTGTATTTGTGGGTATGATCACCAGAGTGTGCTAGAGACTGTGTCCTCCTACTTGTCTTAACTGATCCTCGTCTTATGGTGTGAGCTTTCAGCCTAAGCAGCTCTAGCCAGGTGCTGCATCTGTCTGCAAAGGAACCGTAATCAACGGAGGCAGCTGGAGAGAACACACAC